GTCTCGAACTCCTGATCTCAGGTGTTCCGCCCACCTCAGCCTCCCAAAGTGCTTTGGATTACAGGTGTGAGTCACCTCGCCCAGCCTACTTTTTTTTTTTTTTTTTTTTTAGAAACTCGATGTTTATTTTCCATGAATTTTATATGTTATTTAAGGGGCCACACAAGAACAGCTTAAGACCATTCAGTGGTTGCTCCTACCCATTCAGTGGCCTGAGCAGTGGGAGCTGCAGACCAGTCTTCCGTGGCAGGCTGGGTGCTCCAGTCTTCAGCAGGGAACTGCTGGATAGGCACAGAGGGCATCTGCCCGCCTTCAGACCAGTCGGCTACCTCAGGCTGAGCGGCAGTGAACTCAGGAGCTGGAGCAGTCAGTCCATTCACCCTGAAATTCCTCCTTGCTCACAGGGTTTTCAGCAGCAGCCTGCTCTTCTTTTGCAATCTCTTCAGGATCTCTGTAGAAGTAGAGGTCAGGCATGACCTTCCACAGGTGTTCACGGGAAATGGTGCCATGCGTGCGCAGAACTTCCCGAGCCAGCATCCACCACATCAAACCCACTGAGTGAGCTCCCTTGTTGTTGCATGGGATGGCAATGTCCACACAGCGCAGAGGAGAATCCGTGTGACACAGAGCAATGGTAGGTAGGTTGACATAAGACACCTCCGTGAGAGGCTGGTGGTCAGCCCTTGGGTCAGTGACCACAAGCAGCTGTGGCTCCCGGAAGGCTGCCTGGATCTGGTTGGTGAAGGTTGCAGGAGTGAAGCGGCCAGCAACTGGAGAGGCTCCAACCTTCAGAGGGCCATGCTGAAGGCAGCAGCAACCTTCAGCATGGCCCTCTGGACATTGCTGGAGAATATGACACTGGCATCAGCAGGGTTTTCAATGGCAACAATGGTCCGAGCTGCCAGGAGAAGCTTCTCCCAGGTCCTCTTCAGATTTATGATGTAGATGCCATCACTGTTCCTTTTATAGACATACTGTTCCATCTGGAAGTCAAGCTTGGTGCCACCTAAATGGGCTCCCGCTGCCAGGAACTTGAGGACATCCCCCCCTTCAATTGCAGGACAACAAGGGCTCCGGACATCGTGAAAGTTTCCCTTTAAGTTATGACGGGAACCCAGAACAATGCCGGATGGAGCCCTCGCAGGCAGCACGGAAAGGGCAGCCTACTTTTTTAAAATCCAAAATGACAATCCATCTTTTAATTGGGAGGTTTAGAATATCCACATGGACTGAGATTACTGATAGGGTTGAGTTAAAATCTACCATTTGCTGTTTGTTTTCCACTGGTCCCAGTGTTATTTTGCTTTTCCTCTTTTCCCAACTTCTCTGGCATTATCTTTTCAGAATTCCATTTTATCTTCTTCGTCGGCTTATTAGCTCCAACTCCTGACGCTGCAGCTGTTGCTTTAGGCTCTAGTGTATACAGCTCTAACCCGTCACAGTCTATTTCCAGTGGCATTAAATCACTCCACACGTAAGAACCTTGTGACAATACACTTCCATTTATTCCTCCCAGCTGGAGTGCACTGGCGCGATCCCAGCTCACTGCAGCCTCTGCCTCCCAGGTTCAAGCGATTCTCCTGCCTCAGCACCCTCCAAGCAGCTGGGATTACAGGCGCATGCCTGTAAACAGAACATTCACAATCGACATTATTTTAGCCCAAGTTTAATAATTGTTTGGTTTTTTTTTAAGAGTCTCCCTCTGTCTCTAGGCTAGAGTGCAGTAGCGCCATCTCAGTGATTCTCCTGCCTCAGCCTTCTGAGTAGCTGGAACTACAGGCGCACAGCACTATGCCCAGCTAATTTTTGTATTTTTAGTAGAGGTGGGGTTTCATCATGTTGGCCAGGATGATCTCTAGCTCCTGACCTCATGGTCTGCCCGCCTCAGCCTCCCAAAGTGCTGGGATTAGAAGCGTGAGCCACCACACCTGGCCAAAAGTTGGGTTTTAAAAATTGATTTAACTGCTTTGCTAAACTGAAGGGATTTTCAAGAGTGGCCTCATTTTCTGTTTAAAATTCCTAACCTCAGTACTTCTTAGAGGCGCACTCACAAATCCAGCTCCCCATCTCATAGGGACTTTTCTAAGAGGGTACATGTTAGACACTTACTGTTTAGAAGGAAAAGGGAAATTGTTCATGTCCTTCTTACATTATTTTTTTCCTCAAGTTGGGTAAGGATTTAAGGCAGCATTGGGTTCCGCTCCTTCAAGACCCCCAGATTCCTCTTCCTCTGGTCTCCCTGTCCTCTGCTTTGTGAGATGTATTGTCGGGGCCAGGTTAGGGGGTCCCAGGGCTTTTCATAGGTGAGAGCTCTTTACTATGCTTTTAATTTTTCTTTTTACGAGAGAACATGGGTGTTAACTTATTAATTCAACAAAGAGTTTGTTACAACTGGGCTGAGTGCTCCTGCACATCGAATTCCCAATCTTGCAAAACCATCCTTAGAAGTTTCACCTTCACTGTTCCTGGGTCTCTAAGTCCATTCTTTGGGTTTAAACATTTAAATTTGTTTCTGACACCCAGGAGGCGGAGGTTGCAGTGAGCTGAGATCGCGCCAATGCAATCCAGCTTCACTTCGGCTGTCCTAGGAGGTGTGAGGAGGTGTGCAACACCTCCGGTGTTTATCTGCCATCATTACATCCTCTTTGGTGAAATTTCTCTTCATGCCCTTGCTCATTTTATGCCTAGACTGTGTTTTATTTGCTGTTGAAATTTGAGTTGTTTATATGTTCTAGACACATGTCCCTTGTCAGATGCATGGTTTACCAATGTTTACTGCCGTCTGTGGCTTGTCTTTTCCTCTTGACAAGTCTTTTACGAAACAAACGTTTAACATTTTGATGAGGTTTAGTTTATCAATTTTTTTGGGGGGGGTGTGCTTTTTGTGTTATGTCCAAGAACTTTTCACCAAGTCCTAGGCCCCAGAGATTTTCTCCTATGCATTCTTCTAAAAGTTTTGTAGCTTTATACTTCACATTTAAATCGATAATCCACTTGGAGTTAATTTTTTATGGGGTGTGCAGTTCTGGTAACACTAACCCCTTTGCCTATGAATGACCAACACTCCAGCATCATGGAGTGCACGACCCCCTGGCACCCAAGAGCTCCCCCAGCACACGCAGCTGCTGCCCTTCTCAGCTCTCCGGGCCTCCATGCCCCAGGCAGCAGGTCTGCCAGACACCCCAGCACCCCTGACTCCCACTTGAACCTCTGGACACCTCAGTCTCCTCGGCCACTCCCTAAGCTCACGCCGCCTCAGCCCTACCCGTCTCTACCAACCCAGAAAGGACCCTTTGCAGACAAGGAGAAAGAAGAGAGGAGCAAGACAGGCTCCCAGGCAGTACCCACAGGAGGAGAGTCGAGGGGTACGTCCCTAGCTGGGCAAAGGCTCTGGCAGTGGTTGAGCGGAAGCATCTCCCAGGTGTCTGAGTGGGCCTGAGGCAGAACACAGGCTCCAGGCAGCACCTCCAGGTTTTCGTGATGTGGGGTGAGGTTGGGAGTGGGATGGGGGAACATAATGACTGAGACGGGAGAGGGACTGGGGTTCAAGTTAAGTTGATTTAAATGAAACCAAGGCGGGAGAAGTTCGTGGCCTGGTTTTCCAGCCACTGCTCCAACAGGCAGAGTCAATCCCGGGCCCAGGACAAGTCCAGGCATGGCATCTCCGGTCTAGCCCAGGGCAGACTCTTTATTTCACTTTACTTTATATTTTATTTTATTCTCATTCTGTTGCCCAGACAGGAGTGCACTGGGGCAATCTTGACTCACTGCAACCTCCAATTCCAGGTTCAAGCAATTCTGCTTCAACCTCCCGGGTAGCTGGGATTATAGGCGCCCACCACCACGCTCCGCTAATTTTTGTATTTTCAGTAGAGGCAAGGTTTCACCATGTTGGCCAGGCTACTCTCAAAATCCTGAGCTCAAGTGACCCACTGCCTCTGCCTGCCAAAGTGCTGGGATTACAGGTGTGAGGGCGTGAGCCACCATGGCCAGCCACACTGTCATTTTTTTTTTTTGAGACAGAGTTTTGCTCTTGTCGCCCAGGCTGGAGTGCAGTGGCACAATCTTGGCTCACTGCAACCTCTGCCTCCCGGGTTCAAGTGATTCTCCTGCCTCAGTCTTCCAAGTAGCTGGGATTACAGGTGTGTGCCACCACACCCAGCTCATTTTGTATTTTTTGTAGAGATAGGGTTTCTCTATGTTGGTCAGGCTGGTCTTGAATTTCCAACCTTAGGTGATCCGACCGCCTCAGCCCCACCCGGCCCAGATTGTCATTCCTAACACATGCTAACTCTGTGGCTGGGCCACAGAATTCCTGCCTAGAGCCTTTTCTCTTAAACCGGCGTGCTGAGAGTGAGGAGCTGGGTTCGTGGGCCCCATGCTTCCCCCACCACCATGAGTTCTCTGCCAACCCTGGAGTCGCCAGCCTCAGTTTCTCCATCAGTAACACCATTTCTTCAGGCAAAGCATGGAAGGAAATGACATGAAATCCAACACCAAAGGCATTCACAAAATGGGAGCGGCTTCCGCCTTCATTGCAGACTGACAAAGTCAGGACTTCTGGGAAGGGAATGGGGCACCGGCAGGGCTGGCAAACAGCTCTAGCAGGGCCACTTAGGCTCCTACAGCTTTCAGAGACAGAGTGGGTGGGGTGAGTCTTGCCCTGCCTCGGTGTGCACCCCCTAGACTCACACCTGCCTGGTCCACACCTCCCGTGGCCCTCACCTGCCTGGCCCATACCTCCCAGGGCCCACATCTGCCCGGCCCACACCTGGAGCCCACACCTCCCAGGGCCCACACCTCCTGGGGCCCACATCTGCCCGGCTCACACCTCCGGAGCCCACACCTCCAGGGCCCACACCTCCCGGGGCTCACACCTCCCGGGGCCCACATCTGCCAGGCTCACATCTCCGGGGCTCACACCTCCTGGGGCCCACATCTGCCCGGCCCACACCTCCGGGGCTCACACCTCCCGGGGCCCACACTTCCCAGGCCCACACCTGCTCAGGGGTGCTCCCGTCCTCTGCGTACACCCGTGGGTCTGCTCCGAGCTTCAGAAGCACCTCCACAGCTTCCAGGTGGCCCGCAAAGGCTGCGCGGTATAGCGGCGTCCGACCGAAGGCGCCCTGCAAGACGGGCTCCTGAGCAAGATCCAGGCCTTGTCCCGGGGGGAAGGAGCCCCCCGCGGGCTCTGGACCGCGCCCCTTGGCGCTCGCTTCCGCCTGCAGCCCAAGGCGCTAACCTTGCTGTTGGGGCTGGCACCGAGCTCAGCCAGCAGCTGGATGGCCAGGGGCTGCCCGCCCGCGGCCGCCTCGGACAGCGGCGTGTTCCCGTTGCTGTCCTCGCACTCCACCAGGGCCACGCGTCGCTGCAGCCGCCGCGCGTTGCCCGCCTCGTCGTGGCCCACGCCCTCGCGGGTCAGCAGCTGTTCCACCTGCGCCGCCCCGCAGCGGTCACCGGGCCTCGCTCCGCCCACGTGCCCCGCCCCCGCGCACACACCGCCCACCCAGGCCCCGGTCCCGCCCACAATCCCCGCCCACACAACGTCCACCCAGGTGCCGCCCAAATCCCCGCCCACGCACCGCCCCCCGGCCCGGCCCCGGCCCCGCCCCTGCTGACCTCCTTCAGCACCGCCCGGATCTCGCTCAAGTTCCCGTCGAAGGCGGCGTCCAGCAGGCGGCGGCGGCGTTGCAGCTCTTCCCGCCGCTCCCGCTGCGCCGCCGCCTCCTGCTCGCGCCGCCGCCGCGCGGCCTCCTGCTCTCGGCGCACCAGGGCCAGATAGGCCTGCAAGGCGCCCGCCCAAGGTTACTGCCCGCCCTCCCCGCGCCCCGAGGTCACCGTCCAGCCCAGCCTGAGCTCCGCCCCCGCACCCTGCTTCGCAATTTCCTCCTCCTGCCTCCTGCCCTGGCCCCCGGGGGTCGCGACCGCCCGTCCTCACCTCCCTTTGCAGCTTCTCCATCTGCTCCAGGTACTCCCGGCGCTCCTCCCGGCGGCGGGCGAGCTCCCTCCTGGCCCGGAGCTGCCGGAAGGCGCCCTGGATCGCCCTGGCCGCTCGGTCCTCCGCGGCCGGCCCTGGGGAGAGGAGACGGCTCGTGGGGGCGCGTTCTGGCCTCCAGCCACGCCTGCTGCGCCCCTGGGAGTGGAGCCGGCCTACACCCCGCCCCCAGAAGGACCCAAACGGTTCTCAAAGCCGCCAGTTGCCGCCGAGCGAGTACGCGCCTGCAGAGGCCACACTAGGAGGCTGCCTGAAGGCCCGGGGCGGAGAGAGGACCCAGGTCTGCGGGAACCCCAACCCCACCCCCCCCCGCGCCTCCGGGGATCCTGTGAGCCCCGCCGAGCCCGCAGCTCAGGAGCCCCGGGGAACGGTGAGGAAGCAGCACTGTCCCCCGCAGGACTCGCCTCCCCTGAAAGCCGGAGGCCTCTCCTGCATCCAGGCCCCAGCGGGCAAAGGCTGGGCTGGCCGGGAGACCGCTGGCCTGGGAGGTCTCATCACAGCCCCACTGGACTCAGAAGAGGGCACGGAGCCCAGGGCCCGGGAGGGAGCACCGTTCTCTCTGGACTCGGCCTCACCACCGCCCCCACCCCATGGCGGCTGCCACGGAGCGCTGAGCCCTAACCTGGAGTCAACTTGCAGGGAAGAAGGGGGCGGAGGAGAGGCCTTTGGGCCCAGCCCTGCCCTTGGCTGCCTCGTGAAGTCAGGGCACCGTGCAGCCTCCCCGGGCCTCAGAGCTCTAACATGGAACTATACTGGCAGCTTTCTAAGGGTCTAGTAATGGGCACTTGTGGCGCCTCCCCCACAGTGAACCTCAGCGTGCGCCCAGTGGGTGTTTCTTGTACCAAGGCACACGGGGCTGGGTGAGGCTGTCAGGCCATGCGGGCACCCAGCAGGGAGCCACAGCCGTGCAGGCCGCCACGGGAGCCCAGGCCAGAAGCAACCAGGCAGCTCAGCTGGGTCCAGAGTTGATCCCGCTCGGGAGCCAAGGACTCTAATTCCCACAGCCAGGCTCCCAGGAGCATGGACAGGATGGCGGGATAAGGAGAGACCTAGAGGCCCAGAAGACCAGGGCACGGACCGGAGCCGCCAGAGGGGGCGGGGCGGAGAGTGGAGTGACGTGCGAGAGTCACAGTGGGTGAGAGTAAAGGGCGAGCTGCCAGCAGTTAGGAGGACGGGACAGAGTGGAGGTGGACAGAGGTGATACAGTCATGAGAATAACGTGTGTCTAGGACGCAGAGACTGACGGTAACAAAGAGAAAACACTCAAGATAAAATCCAGGAAATCCTGAAAGCAATCTTAGGACAAAAGAAGCAAAAAGAAAATCATCAGAAAACAAAGGGCATGAACAACAGGCATCAGACACAACTGGCTGAATTTGCGCCTCAAAACAAAATGTTTTTCAAGCACAGGAGGAGAAAAAGTGAAGCACCTCTGAGAGGAAAGTCCGGCCTTCCTGAAGCCTTGTTTTTCTTTTTGACACAGGATCTCACTCTGTCACCCAGGATGGAGCACAGTGGTGCAATCTCTGCTCACTGCACCTTCCACCTCCCGGGCTCAGGCAATCCTCCCACCTCAGCCTCCCCAGTAGCTGGGACCACAGGCACATGCCTGTGCACCACGCCCACTTCCCAAGGCCCTTTACACAAACACTAAATGTTAGAAGAAAATGAAGCAGTGTCCACAAAATTCCACAGGGAAAACAGTAGGCCAGGAACACTCTGTGGCTGTGCAATAGGGATGGTTGGAAGACTCTGTGGTTCTACAGTGAAGACGGCAGGAAGAGTCTGTGGCTCTGCAGAAGAGTTAGCGGGAAGAGTCTGTGGCTCTGCAGGGGAGACGGCAGGAAGAGTCCGTGGCTCTGCAGGGGAGACGGCGGGAAGAGTCCGTGGCTCTGCAGGGGAGACGGCGGGAAGAGTCCGTGGCTCTGCAGGGGAGACGGCGGGAAGAGTCCGTGGCTCTGCAGGGGAGACGGCGGGGAGAGTCCGTGGCTCTGCAGGGGAGACGGCGGGGAGAGTCCGTGGCTCTGCAGGGGAGACGGCGGGGAGAGTCCGTATGATTCTTCAGCGGAGGCAGCAGGGCAGAAGGTGCAGCCTTCCCAGTGACAGCAATGGAGAAGACAGACGAAGTCAGTGTCTTTTAAACAAGAGTCTGATGGCACTGAAAAACTGCTGAGGAAGTGAAGAATGAGGTCGAGAGGACAACAGTGCAGCAGGGTGGTCCCTGGCCTGGGGACTCCGACAAGGCCCAGAGCAAAGGGTCAGTTCCTCAGCAGAGGATGGGCCAAGGGACAGACCTGCATTTAGAGCACTCTGTATGGCTTGGGTTTAGGGTTGCCAGACTTAGCTAATAAACAGGATGCAGTTTGGGGGATATATACTAAATCAATTATTCATTGTTTATCTGAAATTCAAATTTAGGCTCATTCCTGTAATCCCAGCACATTGGGAGGCTGAGATGGGAGGATTGCTTCAGCTGAGGAGTTTGAGGCCAGCCTGTACAACATGGTGATTCTCCTGCCTCAGACACCTGAGTAGCCTCAGCCTCCAATGTGCTGGGATTACAGGTGTGTGCCACCATGCCTGGCTAATTTTTGTATTTTTTGGTAGAGACAGGGTTGTACCATGTTGGCCAGGCTGGTCTTGAACTCCTGACCTCAAGGGATCTGCCCACCTTGGCCTCCTAAAGTGCTGGGATTACAGACATGAGCCACTAAACCCGGCACAGGTAATATATATGATTAATTTTTAATTTTTATTTTTTGAAAATTATATTTTAAAAGTAAGGGAATGGCAAGCACATTTGTAAGAGTGGGTTCATCTGCAGGGAGGAGTGGAGACAGACCAGGATATAATCGTGTTGGTGCCATGCAGGCCCCACATTCTACTTTCCTTACTACGGTGCATGTATATCACATATGTTCTTTTGTACACAGGATTAAAGAGATTTTTATGCATCCAGCAATTCCTTGAGCTTCACTAGTTTATTTTCATTTGTTAAATTTATCATTTTATTTTTAAAATGAAATGTATAAAATATCCTGCTGTTATGAAATTCTCTCTCCACCTCTTTCTGCCTCTCCATAATTATGGAAATTTGCCCCATGTAAAAATGGAGAGAAATATTTGGATTGTGCATAAAATGTTTGCACATTTGTTATTTTTTTTTTTCAGTTTTTGTTTCTTTTTCCCTTTAGAGACAGGGTCTTGCTTTGTTGCTGAGACTGGAGTGCGGTGATGGCCTCACGGCTCGCTGACTGTAGACTTCACCTCCGCAGGCTCAGGTGATCCACCCCCACCTCAGCCTCCTGAGGAGCTGGGACTACGAGGATGTGTCACCATGCCCGGCAAAGAGATGGAGTCTCACCATATTGCATACTGCATATTGCCCAGGCTGGTCTCAAACTCCTGGGCTCAAGTGATCCTCCCACCTTGACTTCCCAGAGTGCTGGGGTTTAAGTGGGAGTCGCTGCTCCTGGTCTGCGCATTTGTTATTTCCAAATATTGGGATACTGGAATACTGGATGATTTGTGATCTGCAGCTTCTTCCTTTGATTTGGGGGCGTTGCTCACAGGTTTTATGAGTCAGGTTTTGTTGGTTTTTTTTTCTGCTACCCAGTAGCTGTCCATCTTTCCTGTGTGGGTGGAGTCCTTCCGCGGGCACCCCCAGAGACGGGCACATTTCCTCTGTGTTCTCTCACTGCCGAGAGTATCAGAGGAACATGGAACTTTAAACAACTGCATGGGCCTTGAAGGAGAATCATCCCTCTATTCCCAGAGCTAAATACTCTGAAATTCCAAAATCCAAGCTTGAGGGACTTTTTGTGACTCTGTTGAAACGAATTATCATATGTGGTATAACAGGAAATTACCAGTTTAAGCCCCCACTGCATTCATATGTTAAAAGAGCCTCTAGAGCCTGTGGAGTTTGTGTTGGGAGGATCACTTGGCCGCTGTGTTCCTCTGGTTTGGCGTTGCTCTAAGGGAACACCTGAGACTGGGTAATTTATAGAGAAGAGGTTGACTTGGCTCATGGTTCTGCAGGCTGCACAAGCTTGGCAGCTGTGTCTGCTCAGCTTCTGGGGAGGCCCCAGGAAGCCTCTCCTCATGGTAGAAGGTAAAGGAGGAGCAGGCTGTGCCACACGGCGAGGGGCGGAGCAAGGAAGATGCCAGGCGCATTAACCAGTCAGCTCTCGTGTGAGCTCGTGATCTCACAGAGTGAGAAATCATTAGGGTGAGGAGGGCACAAGCTGTTCATGAGGCATCTGCCCCCATGACCCAAACACCTCCCATGAGGCCCCACCTTTGACACTGGGGATCACATTTCAATATGAGATTCGGAGGGGACCAAACCATATAGGCTAATTGAGCAGGGTCTCACACACAGTAAGCATTCAACAAATGTGAACTACCCTTGTCATCCCCTCACCTCACTGTAAGGAACGCCAGTAGGAGAGGCAGGAACTTCCTACCACGACAGCCTGTCGGAGAAAACACAGCACTGCAAGGGGGTTGCATAGACTGATGGCAATGTGAGACTTCTTTCTCCGCTTTTATTCTCCATTTTTTGGCAGAAAATGATGGTTTTGAGGAATGCCTAGATCATTGTCAGCTCAATCAGAAGGTGACTCCCCTTGTAGCTGCTGTTTCAAGTGTGTTCTCCTTAAAGAAGCAAATCAATACAATCGAGCGCCTGTTATGCAGCGACTGATCTGGTCAATATTCTTTCCTATCCAGTCAGCGTTCACCAGAAGCAAGCTGCCCTCCTTGGGAGGCATCAGCAAACCTTCCCATCTTGTCATGTGCTTTCTGTGCCACAGTTTGGTCCACAGGGAGCTTGGCCGTCTCAACACCCTGAGTGATCCTGACAGTGCAGTACGCTGACAAGGGCACCGGGATAGGACCTGGCAGCCTGGTGAGACATGCATGCCTGGCAGGTGGGCATAGCTGGCCACACAGAGCCTGACTCCTGGATAAGATTCTGAACACCCAGCCATCTATATTGTGGTCCTCAAACTTCTTTCTTTCTCTTTTTTTTTTTTTAGGCAGAGTTTCACCCTGTCGCCCAGGCTGGAGTGCCGTGGTGCAATCGTGGCTCACTGCAACCTCAAACTCCCGGGTTCAAGCGATTCTTCTGCCTCAGCCTCCGGAGTAGCTGGGAATACTGGCGCCTGTCACCACGCCTGGTGAATTTCTGTGCTGACATCTAAATTTTTTCCTAACAAGTTTAAATAGTTACAAAGGATCAGATTTATGGAATATCAATGCATTTTGAAGTAAACTCTTTACCAATGGAATACAAATACCATAAATGATTGGACCCCCATAATCACACTGTTTAGACAAACACAAGCTCTACAATTAGTAGAAATGATAGATTGTGTTATTCTCCCTGAAATGTAATCTCTATCTCACTTTGTATCTATCCTAGAATCATCATATATATTACAGTATATTTCTATCCTAATATATGTTATGCTTTTTATCACAGATCCTATAATACTTCTCTGTAAAAAAAAAAAAAAAACCCTGAAATTTTCTATTGAACTTTAATTGTTAAAACCTTACATATAGCTATAAGGCTCCACATTTTTGTTTGGTTTTTTGAGACAGGGTCTGGCTCTGTCTCCCCCACTGGAGTGTAGTGGCATGATCTCAGCTCACCCAGCCTCGACCTCCCTGGGCTCAAGCAGTCCTCCTACCTCGGCCTCCCCAGTAGCTGGCACTGCAGGCGGCTAATGCTTTTTAAAAATGTTTTTGGTAGAGCTGGGGGTCTTACTGTGTTGCCCAGGCTGGTCTCGAACTCCTGGGCTGAAGCAGTCCTCCCATATTGTCCTCCTAAAGTACTGGGATTACAGGTGTGAGTTACCCCGCCAGGCTGAGTTGTCATTATGGCTGTTGCCGTGTCATTGTTCAAAATTGGATAAATATATTACGAGATTTGGATGCATAATTGTTAAACATGAAAAACCAGAGTTGGGTCAGAAAGGCAGAAGCAGTGGAACAGACAGGGTCTGAGTCGGAGGCATAGCGTCCGTCCACGTGCAGCTTCCTGGGCCAGAGCTCCCGCGCCTCCCTGTGTCTGACGGCGGGCAGGGGCCGGGTGTCTCTAGGACTCCCAGGGGATGAAGCAGGGCGCCCGCTGGAGATGCTCTGGGTCCCTTCTCGGACACGCGGCTCAGGAGCCTCCGCTCCGCGCTCTGCTGCTCCCTGCGAAACCGGCATTGACGCCCCCCCCCCCCCCCCCGGGTCTTCAGTGCCGCGCGCCTCCCTGACCGTTTGTCCTTGGTGGCGCGCACCAGAAGGTCCCACCCCGCGCCGTCTTCCCAAGTCCAAAGTCGCCCCATGCCGCGCCGCAGGGCCGCCCCCCGGCTCTACCCAGCCGCCTGCGAGGCGATGACCGGCCCGGGGCAGGGCTCCCGGCAATGCGGAGCGCAGAGAACCCTGCGGCTTCTCTGCTCCCACTCAGGGGCATCGCTGCTTCCGGAGTCCCTCCGTGGTGACTTGAGGTCCTTCTTGGTACTTAGACTTACACAGCTGTTTGGCCATTCTGCATCAAGAGTTTAGTCTATTGTTTATTTTGGACACAGGGCCTCCCTCTGTGGCCCAGGCTGTTGTGCAGTGGCACGCTCAGGGTTCACTGCAGCCCCAGCTCCCAGGCTCAAGCCATCCTCCCACCTCAACCTCCCGAGAAGCTGGGACTATAGGCACCTGCCACTGTCAACTCACAGTTGTTTTTTTGTTTGTTTAAGAGATTAGATCTCACCAAATTCTAGGGCCCCAAAACACCACAGTGGTCCACCAGTCAAAGTGGCAGCTGACGGTCAGGGATCATGTAATTTTGGTCCAAGTTCCTCTTGAGCTGGGCCTGTGAGTTCTGCAGACACTGGCTGTGGTCACTTTGCAAGCTCCTGAGTGTGTAGCTAAAAAGATATCCCACAACCCGGCAGCACCGTCACATTAGCTTTGGAAGCCCTGTAATTTCTCTTTCCTACCAGATTAATGAACTGAAATCTAGACTGCATGGCTGGTGAAACTGCAGAGGGTTGCGCTACGCCCCCAAAGATGTGAAAGATGCAGGGCTGGTGATCTCCAGCACAGCCCCCACCTGACTCCTGAGCTCGGTGAGGCGGAAGGTGAGAGTCCTCGGAGAGTCTGGATTTTCACAAAGCTCAGCAGGTGGTTATTCCAATTGCACCTGCTGTTCCAGATGTGATATATTTTCTGGAGCCAATCATTTCCTGGAGTGAACCACTGGCCAGGAAAATGCTTTTCTCCCTATAATAATTCGCAAGGATGGGGCTGCTGGGTATGTGGGGCCCTTGCCCAGGCTGTCCTCGTCCATGTCCTCAGGAGCACCTTCTGGCAGGAAGAGAGGGAGTGAGATGTAGGACTCTCCTCCAGGTTCAAGACCATGACCAGCCCATCCTGTGGAACGTGCAGTTTAACCTGGGCAGTAGCAGTCACCCAAGCAATCAGTGACAGAACTCTGTTCAAGAGAAGCTCCTCATCACAGATGAACCAGGTAATATTTGTGAGAGGACGGATTTGCTGGTGAAAGGTTGTAATGTCCACATCCCTAGCGCAAAGCAGTACTGCTGTGATGTCTGCTGACCGTGTGTCCTGCAGCCCACCAGCAGTTTCTCCTGGAGCACCATGGTGTTCCAGAACCTCTTCATGGCAGTTGAAGGTCAGTATTGAATTACGTCCGGCCAAACACAGGACCTCATCCTGGGGCCTCATCCCACCGACCGGGACCCCATCACAAAGTATTGCTATGGAGAAAGCCCACCAGAGCTCTTCTCGGTGTGGCGGGTGCCGCAGATGCTCTCCAGCTTCTGGAAAAATTTGCCTGCTGGGGCCCAGCTTCAGCACTCAGGCCAGGGGTGGGAAGAAGACAAAGGCAGCACGAGGAGATCTTGACTTGGACCACTTTTCATGTGCTCATCTTTGGCCTCTGCAAGGTAGCTTGAAACTCCAGCTGGTCCCATCGGGGAAGGAAGAAACCACAGCTGGACCCCAGCAGTGCTGGTTCTTAGATGACTGGACCCTGAGACCCACACAGGGGCCTGGGACTCATGTCCTCTTGGGAGCCAGGAGTCACTTCCAGCTTTGATCCAGACTCCTTCACTGTAAAATTGTTTATTGGATTCCTTTGGAGTAGTGGGGAAATTATGTTTTATGTACGAGAATGCCTTTTTGTTCTAGCTGAAAATGTTCAGCTATTTTTTGTTGTTCTTGTGTTCTAGAGTTTTAAGAGTTAAATCATCCCTTCACCTGGCTAAAATGTTTCATCTTTTTTAGCTGGAGTTTTGCTCTTGATGCCCAGGCTGTAGTGCAGTGGCGCGATCTCAGCTCACCAAAACCTCTGCCTCCCAGGTTCAAGGGATTCTCCTGCCTCAGCCTTCCAAGTAGCTGGGATTACAGGCATGCGCCACCATGCCCAGCTAATTTTGTATTTTTAGTAGAGACAGGGTTTCTCCATGTTGGTCAGGCTGGTCTCAAACTCCTGACCTCAGGTGATCCACCCGCCTTGGCCTCCCAAAGTGCTGGGATTACAAAAGCGAGCCACTTTAGTCTTTTAGAATGTGAAAAATAATAATTTACAAGTGTTGGAAACAGATGCTTGGTGCCACAAAGAAGAATTAGCACTGAGACAAAGGATTTCTCAGCAAAGCAATTCTTACTTTTTTACTTCCTACATTGCAGTGAGGCTGCCCTTGCCAGCCATCTTGCTGCAAGAGTACAATAAACACGGGAAAAGCAGACATATTTATCCCTGATGCATCTGGGGTTGCCCTACTGCTGTGTCTGATCTCCATTGGTTGGAGCCAGACCTCACAATCTAAACTAACACCTGATTGGCTAACAACTTAAAACTTTTCTCAACAGGTAAACGCAGTGGAGAACAAAAAGGAATTCCAAATAAGGAAGGGGCGTCAGCAGCAAGCTGGGACATGCCTGTGAGCACGTCCAGCACAGTATCTTGGTTAAAGTACAAGGACATAGAATGTGCTACATACCAAACAGCTACATAGGATAGGGCTTAACAAAGAGTTATTAGCACACTTATGATTTATTCTTTAACAAGAAAGGAAACTTTGAAGAGGAACCTTTACTTTCCATAGCAAGGATAACCAGAAACAGTGTGCTTTTACCTAATAGGGCTGAGGAAACACCCTCATATTCTTGCCTCACTGCTAGTCAGTCCTTCCACTCTCTAAGGTCATCTAATCCAGAAACCTTTATTGTCTTGTTCCCCCCTCTCCCCGCACACACACACACAAGCATGAACTGATACACTACACTGATGAATTTATCCTGATTGGACCTAATGAACACAGAGCAGCAAACACCTTGGATCCCGAGTAGTCATCATGAACCAATGGTACCCACTGAGCCATCAGGTTGGGCATGAACACCAGCAATTCATCATCAGATGAAGATGAAACATAAGAAACTGGGTTACAGCACGTTACTGTACTTAAAAAAACAACAACTGGGTTTGCAAAGGTCCTGGCAGCTCAGATGCCTGTGACACGAGTGCTGCCCCATCACCGCCCCCCATCTCGATCCACACCAATGGCATCATGGGAAACTCCTCATGGTCACCTGACTGACAAGGAAAGAAAAGCACCCCTGGTCCTCAGATAGTCCCCTCGTGGTGTACTGAGCTCCAGCCTTAAGTCAGGAGTGTGCCTGGCCATGAGAAGCACTTTGAGCTGTGAATTTTGTTGTCCACTTCGTCTGGACTAAGAGATCCACGGAAGAAAATATTGATTTTGTTTCTAGTGGTAGTTAATGGCTTGGCTAGATACCAAAAGGAGCAGGCTTGGAAGATCGGTAAGAAGGACATCTGGAAAAGAGGATGTGGGCGGACAGCGCAGAATGTGAAGATGTTGTGCACCTTTGCAGACGTCCACCAGTCATGCATTTTGAGGGGGGAGTACCAAGAGGGATCATCGGGAGGACAGCGCCATGCACAGTCACACTCTCCAGCCACCCGCATGCTTTACCAATGAGCAGCAGCAGAGATGGGGCTTTGCATGGGCTCTACAACCTAGATTTTCCTCCCCACAAGGCTGCTACCACTGAATGCTGAATCTTCCAGCAGCAGAAATGGATGCTGAGCGCCCAGCACAGCCTCACTTCCCGGGAGCCAGCCAGCCATCTGCCAGCAGGCTGACCACACTGGACCGTTTCCATCATGAAGGCGCGCTGTGTGTCCTCACTGAAGGAATATATTCTAGATATGAGTTTGTTCTTAACTGCAATGATTTTGCCTGTGCCAACATTAGTTTATAAAATATTTATTCTGGCCAGGCACAGTGGCTCACACCTATAATCCCAGCACTTTGGGAGGCCAAGGTGGGCAGATCACTTGAGGTCAGGAGTTTGAGACCAGCCTGGCCGACCTGATGAAACCTTGTCTCTACTAAAAAATACAAAAATAAGCGAGGCATGGTG